GTTTTGAAATCTCATTGACACAGTTTTCCCCACCAATGCATGATATGCTACAGTTTTCAAAGTTTTGTTTCATTTACCATTTGCCTGGTTAAAGTTTAACCGCAAATCAGTCACTGCTTTCTCCGTCTCTGAATCTTGTCACAGAATCTGATCAATTTACTTTTAATTTTGGCGTTATTCATTGCTCTGCACCAGAAACAACACAGGCCCTCGCTCAGGCCTCCCTCCTCAATGCCCCTTCCGAGTGCTCCCTCAACAGAATGCTCAGGTTAGGAGCTTCCACAGTTGGGTGTACTGTATTGTACGGGTTGAAGATTGGTTAACACGCAGAGGACGGACAGCGAAGATTAAAGGGTCTTTTTTAGGTTTGAAAGCCGTAACTGGTGAAGTACCACAAGGATCCAACGAGGGGCACAATAATTTATTTATTATGGTCCTTACATTTAAGAAAGAATTTACTGGATTTGGAGCCAATTCCAAAGGGATTGGAATCATTAGGCTGATTCCTGGGATGAAGGGGAGACTTATCGAGAGCAGCTAAACAAGTGAGACCTTTATTCGTTAGAGTTTTGAGAATGAGGGTATGATCTTGTTCAAACATACAAGATACTGAGGGGACTTGACAGGATAGACGTTGAGAAAATGTTTTCACAAACGGGGAAATCGGAAACTAGGGACGTGAGGGAGTTTCTTCTCTCAGAGAATAGTGAATATCTGGAATTCTGGATGCCAGGGATTTGTGGAGGCTAGATGATGGAAATTTTTTGAAGAGGAGACAAATAGATTTTTGGAATATTGGGAAGTTTGGGCTATGATGAGTTGACAGGAAGAGGAGTTGAAACCAATAGCAGCTCAGCCGTGATCTTGTTAAATTGTAGGGTTTGGTTTGAGAGGCCAAAATGACCTAATCCTGCTGCTATTTTTTGCATTCATACGGTCTTAATTGAAATTGTATTTCTCCTAAGTATTTTCCAAACCAATTTTATCTCCTTGTTCTCATCACCTCTGTGCAATGAATTCAATGTTAATTTCACTTTGAAGATGTTCAACAGTAACAAATCTGAGTCAACCTCTGACAGTGCAAAACATATAAGATTGTCACTGTTCTGATCAATGTTGAATTTTGGTCATTTGAGTTCAATACCTGACACTTTGATGTACAAAAAGATAGCTTCAGATGGAACAAATACTGACTTACAGTGACTCAGTGAAGCCAAACATAGAAACAGAGAAGATAGGAGCAGGAGGAGGCCATTCAGCCCCTCAAGCCTGCTCCGCAATTCTTCATGATCATGGCTGATCGTCCAACTCAGTAGCCTAATCCTGCTTTCTCCCCGTAACCTTTGATCCCATTTGCCCCAAGTGCTATATCTAGCTGCCTCTTGAATATATTCAATGTTTTGGCATCAACTACTTCCTGCGGTAATGAATTCCACAGGCTCACTGCTCTTTGGGTGAAGAAATGTGTCCTCATCTCCGTCCTAAACGGTCTACCCCGAATCCTCAGACTGTGACCCCTCGTTCTGGACACACCCACCATCAGGAACACTGTCCCTGCATCTACCCTGTCCAGTCCTGTTAGAATTTTATAAGTCTGTATGAGATCCCTCCCAATTCATCTGAACTCCAGCGAAAACAATCTCAACCTAGTCAATCTATGTATCTATGTGCAAACATCCGAGCGTGACTGACTGAACAAGGATCTGTCACAGCCGAAAAATGATATTGCTGTGAATGGATTCTGAAACTCAAATCTGCATCTCCCAATTGATTCACACCTTTCAGGAAGCTAGCCATTGAGACGAAAGGTTGCCTGTGGAGTATTCAGTTTGGGAAAGCGATGAGCACATTGGGGAGGAAGATACAAAAGGACCTTTCTGAGCATAACAAAGTGTGGGGCTGGAGGAACACAGCAGGCCAGGCAGCAACAGAGGAGCAGGAAAGCTGACGTTTTGGGTCGGGACTCTTTCTGAACAATTGTTTCTGCACTGCAGAGGACACACCAGGAGAAATGGATTTGTGAGCAGGAACTTTGAAGACCCTGTCAGGCAGTTGTCAGTGAAAGGGAACTCAAATAACAGCAGCTGCAAACCCTGTCACATCTGCAACTTGATTTGATTTATTTATTATTGTCACATGTACCTCGGTACAGTGAAAAGTTTTGTTTTGCATGCAGTACAGGCAGATCATACCATACAAAGATCATAGGGTAGGAGAACAGAGTGAGGAGACTGTCTCTTTCCACATTCATTTCATCAGTCAACTTTACTCGATGTCAGCCTGGGTGCCACTGAATCGCTCATCCATGCCTTTGTGACCTCTGAGCTAAACTGTTCCTCCACATCCCTGGCAGCTCTCCCATCTTCTAAACTCGTGTCTAAGCTGGAGATCATCCAAAATTCTGCTGCTTGTGTCTGAACTGGCACCAGGTTTTATTGTTCCATTACCCCCACCACATGAACGATGACCCACGCAGGTCCTTCAGCAAGCAGCATCCCGATTTTAAATGAAAGCAAAATACTGTGGTTGCTGGAAATCTGAAATAAACACAAAGTGCTAGAGAAACTTCCAAAGAAGAGCCGTGCTGGACTCAAAAGTGTTAAGACCAGAAGATATATCAGCAGCATTAGGCCATATTGCCCACTGAATCTGCTCTGCCATTTGCTTATGGCTGATAGGTTTCATAACCCCATTCTCCTGCCTTCTCCCCAACTGCATGGGTATATGAATAGGACGGGTTTAGAGGGACATGGGCCAAATGCTGGCAAATGGGTCTCGGTTAATGTAGAATATCTGGTCGACATGGGCGAGTTGGACTGAAGGGTCCGTTTCCGTGCTGTACAGCTCTACAACTCTAAAGCCTTGATCCCCGCACAAATCAATCTGGCAGGATCTGTGGAGAGAGAAACAGAGTCAGCATTACAAGTCTGGCACGCCTGTTCTTTGGAACTCAGCCAGACCTACTGAGTTTCTCCTGCACTTTCTGTTTTTATTCTTCATTTTAACACCTGATCCTTGTTTTCAAATGTCTCCGTGACCTCATCTTCCCCGTCTCCACACAATCCCTTCCATCTCCAAGGTGATGATTTGTAGGAAATGAAAGTGTTAGGCAAACTCTTCACGATTTCATTGAGTGACCCTGTAATTTTGCTGCTCAGTTTTGCTTGTAGCAGAGGGATGAAGAGGAATTCTGCAGCACCGAGCCATTTCTGTTCTGTTCTCATCTGTAGTACATGTTCAGCAGTGGGGCAAATAAAGTTCTCAACTTGTGGGACCATGCTTTTAATCAATGTCCTACTTCCCACTTCAGCTTCTGGGAGTATTTCTCTGCTGATCAGAAGATGGCATTTATTGCCCATCCCTAATTGCCCAGAGGGCAGTTCGGAGTAAACCACATTGCTGTGGGTCTGGGGTCACATGTAGGCCAGACCAGGTAAGGATAGCAGTTTCCTTCCCTAAAGGGCATTAGTGAATCAGATGGGTTTTTCCTGACAATCGACAATGGGTTCACGGTCATCATTAGATGCTTAATTCCAGATATTTATTAAATTCAAATTCCACCATCTGCTGTGGCGGATTTGCACGCCAGTCCCCAGAAAGTTATCTGGGTCTCTGGATTAATAGTCCAGCGATAATACCATGAGGCCATTGCCTCCCACTTAGTGTGCAATCATAAAACCAGAATTTGTTGGTGAAACTCAGCAGGGTCTGGCAGTGTCGGTGCAGCGTGAAAGTAGAGTTAATGTTTCAGGTTCAGTGATCCTGAATTGAACTGAAGAGGGGGAGTGGAGGGGTGAGTTAAAATGGGTGGTAACCAGGAGGTTAGGTTGGCCATTATGGGCCAGGCAGAGATGCCCAGTGAAACGGTCACCCTAGTCTACATTTGGTCTCACAGATGTAGAGAGGACCATGTCGGGACCACCGGATGCAATAGACTATGTTGGAGGAGATGCAGGTGAAGCTCTGTCTCACTTGGAAGGACTGTTTAGGGCCCTTGATGGAGGTGAGGGAGGTGGTGTGTGGGCATGTGTTGCATCTTTTACGTTTATAGGGGAAGGTACTAGGTGAGGGAGAGGAGTCGTTTGGAGTGGTTGGTGGGGAGTGTGGCGCGAACTAAGGAGTGCCAAAGGGAATGGTCCTTGCGGAAGGTAGAGAGGACTGGGGAGTGGAAGATGTTCCCGGTGGTGGGGTCGAATGGAGTTGGCATAAGTGTTTGAGGATGATACGTTGGATGTGGAGGTTGGTGGGGTGGAAGGTGAAAACAAGGGGGACCCTATCTTTATGATGTTTTGGGGGGGGAGTGGTGGTTAAGAACTGTGGAGTGGGGAATGGAGGAGGCGCGGTGGAGGGCTGTCTGGATGACAGAGGGGGGAGAAAGAGCATTGTTTGAAAAAGGCAGACATCTGGGATGTTTGGGTTTGGAACGTCTCCTTGACAGAGCAGATGCGGCAGAGACGGAGGAATTAGGAAAACGGGTTAGAGTTTTTGCAGGATACAGGGACTGCTTTTCTTTCAGATTCCCAGCATTTGTACTTCTTAGGGTGGCATGTTGGCTCAGCGGTTAGCACTACTACCCCATAGCGCCAGGGACATGGGTTCGATTCCAGCCTCAGGTGACTGTCTGTGTGGACTTTACACATTCTCCCAATGTCTTTCCTCTGGGTGCTCCAGTTTCCTGCCACAGTCCAAAAATGAGGTGGATTGGCCATGCTATAGTGTCCAGTGATGTGCAGGCTTAGGTGGATTAGCCACGGGAAATGTGGGGTTATAGGGATAGGGTGGGATGCCCTCCGGAGGGCCAGTACGGACTCGATGGGCCGAATGGCCTGCTCCCACAATGTCGGGATTCTGTGGTTTTATTGCAGTGTGGGACAAAGTTTGACGATATGCATTGAAAGTTCGGTCCATCCAATAACGTGGCTGCAGTTTGAGTGAAGGAACAGAGGAGTTATTTCCGTGAATCTGGCTCTTCTCCCGGTTGGCCCTTTAAGAGCGGTTCGGGTTCCACCCCTTTCATTTAAGGGAGCAGCCATCTTCAGCAAGGGATTCACTCAAACGTTTCCAAAGCCGCTCAGAGTAGCTGGAAAGTTTCAGGTAAGTTTCACTTCGCTCCAGAAAGGGCATAACCGAGTGGGATGGTTGTTGCTGGCGCTGTCTTCACACCGTACAGCAGCTTGCACTGGGTGCTGAGGCCAGGTTTGCGAACAAATTCAGCCGAATAAGGTTATTCTCTCCAGTTTCTATTCAAACGCCTACTCGCTGAACTAGCGCTGCGCTCAGTGAGTCACGTTGTTTGTTGGAGATTGAGGTTTGAAACTCAGCAGGTTGCACTGTCCCTGCAATTGGGGAAGAAACACCTCCCTTGGGTGAGTCCCTTCCTTTTACCTGCTCACACTCTCCTGCTGTGGGGCTGGTCTGTGTGTGCTTCAAATCTGACATCTCTCCTTTTTCACCAGTGAATATTAATTATTTTTTTTATCCTTCTCTTTTCCCTTCATTCAAACTGTAGCCAGGTTATTGGATGGGCCAAACTTTCAATGCAAATTGTCAAACTGTGTCTCTCCCTCTCTCTCTCTCTGTCACTCTTCCCTCAGATTCCCAATTGCATTTTGCAGCACAGGAGCTGCGGGTCTGCAGTTTGGCAGATTTGTTCTGCGTTGGGGAGATGCAGCACGGCTTGGCTGACCGCTTTGCACAGCACCTGTATCTGTCTGCAGAAATGACCCTGCGTTTCAGCTGGCCGCCCCTTTGCCACACCACCCTGTTCCCTGGCTGACATCTTTGTCTCAGGTTTGCTGCAGTGCTTAAGCAAAACTCAGCACACGCTGGAAGGATAGCATCTTGTTGTCTGCTTGCGAGCCCCACAGTCTTTTGGACTCCAATATCGAGTTCAATAATTTTAGGGCCTGAATGCCACCTTCCACTTAGTCAAAACGTTGCCTGACTTCTGTACAGCCAACAGGTTTTCACCCATTTAGGGTCCCTATCAGCAGCTTATTTCCTTCCCAGGCTCACCATTATTCATTCCTTTGTTTGCTTAACTATCTTTCTCTCCCTCTGGGCTGCATCTCCACGCACCCTCTCGCTCCTCTAACCCCAGTGCGTATCTTCAGAATATACTGCAAACTTTCTGTATAACTAGAAAAGAATAACATAACTGATTGACTACTGGGAGATCACAGTGAGAAGGCTCTCATTTTATTGAATCTAAATTTGCATTATTATTATTTTAAGTGATTTATGATGTAAATGGAGCATAACCATGATGTGGGTAACCCTGTCCATGATATTGCTATTACTTAGTGTGGGTTTTTACATTTGATTGTGGCTCTCCTGACCAACTGGCACTCTCCTGTCCCACATGCCAGTGAATAAAAAGCTTGCTGGGCCACCTTCTTCAATCTGCTACTGGTTTTGTAGAAGGGTCACTGGACCCAAAACATTAACCCTGCTTTATCTCAAAATGTTGACAGACCTGTTGAGTTTCTGATCTTGTTTCAGCACAATCTTCCTGTCTGCAAGACTGTTTTGGCTGTTTGCCAGTTTGATCAAATTTATAGCGACGTTAAGTCTATGTCCAGTAGTGAGTTCTTGTCAATCTTCAACGTGAAGTGTTAATTTCACCCCTGCCCATCCCCCTTTGTCACCTTAGCTTTCTGTGTTCAGTGCTTTCAATACTGTTTCCTCTGGGCTTTCCCTTTGTAGCTCTTTATTGTTGGCCGGCTTCTCATTTTTTGCCAGCTTGGGCTAGGAAGTAAGGAATAGGTTGTCTTGTCACATTGGTTTCCAGAGCCTCTTTGTATTTCATAATGCCCTGTATCCAACTACTCGGTGGCATGTAGTCACTCTTGGAAAAACCACAGTCAGTTTACACAGGGTGGGCTCCCCTCACATAGCCGTGTGACCGTTCTTCCTCCCCCCCCCCCCCCCCCCCCCGCCTCCAGTTAGTGGCTATATCCCCCGGAACTCTGTATTTTCCTATTAGTTTCCACACTTGCGTCAGCAATCTTTGTTGCTGCACTTGGCCATTCATAGGGGAGCAGCTTCATTGAAGTCAAGTGGCTGGATTCATGGCCTGATCACAGGGACCCTTTAATGGATTGGCTTTTGCTAAGTGTTCGCAGTAAGAGAACTTTGCTGTGGTGTTCCTGTTAGCTCCAGACCAACACTGAATGCAGGGTATAAAACATGATCATACACACGCTGTATATGCTGGTCCTGATTGGTGTACAGGACATTGGTGAGGCCTCTTCTGGAGTCCAGTGTACAGTTCTAGTAGCTCTGCTATAGGACCAGGACCGCTCTCTGCAGCTGTAACATTGTTTCCTTTGCTCTGTTTGATTACCCTAATGCAGTTTGTATGGTATATGGTCTGCCTGTACTGCACTCAAAATAAAACTTTTCACTGTACCTAGGTGCATGTGATAATAAATAAATCAAATCAAAATGTCTAATTAAATTGGACAGGATGTACAAATTCAGACAAGATGTACCAAGATGTTGTTGAGTATGGGACGTTTGAGTGAAAGGGAGAAGTGAGGACATTTTTTTCACTGGAGTGTAGGAGGTTAAACAGGGGACCTTTGATGGAGGCTTACAACGTTCTGAGTGGTGTAGAAAAAGTGAATGGCAGTTTTTTTTCCCCAGGGATGGGGATCTTGAGACTAGGGTGTAATTTTTAAGGTGAGAGGACAATGATTTTAAAAAAACATGAGGGGGCAACTTTTTTTAACAAGTGGTTTGTGTGGGATGAATTTTCAGAGGAAGTAGTGAGTGTGGGTATAGTTACAATGTTTAATAGACATTTGGATAAGTACATGAATAGGAAAGGTTTGGAGGGATATGGGCCAGGAGCAGGCAGGTGGGACTAGTTTACTTTGGGCATTATGTTCAGCATAGGCTGGTTGGGCCAAAGGATCTGTTCCTATGCTGTAATGGCTCCATGACTCTATTCCAGCTGTTAGTCACTCCTGGAACTTGGCTTTCACAGCTCTTCTCCCTATGCAGCAATTTACTGTTTTCTTTTTAAGAATGTAGCATAATGCAACACAGAAAGAGGCCATCCTTGCCATAGTTTGTGCAGGCTCTGTGGGAAAGTTGAGCCGAGATCCCAGCAGAGATTCCTTGTTTGGTATTGTCACGAGTCAGGACTGTGCGCAGTAGTGAGTGCTGACGATATGTTGTCGATATTCTCACGGGTGAAGTTTGCAGATTCCTCAGCTTGACATCTGGTTTGCAGAGTGGCTTCAGTGCCCTAGGACCCAGAAGGAGTGAGGAGTTCCTTACTGTTGTGGAGATGACTGACGGTCAGTGTCAGCTTCCATCACACGGGTCACAACCCTTCGACTGCTGCGGGGTTTGTGTGGCTTGAGTCTGAGTTATCCTCCGCCATCCCTCACTTTTCCCTTAGGTTAAAAGTCCAGGGGAATCCAATCGGGCTGGGAAAGATTGTGAAGGATGCAAATCTGCTGTAGTCAGGAACTGCTGGTTTGGGATAGCAGTTCAGTCAGCACTTGGGTGTGGTGAGTGGAAAATAGACCAAATGTTTTTGGCATGGACTGTTCCATGACCTAGAAGCTTTTTTAAAAAAAAAAGTCATCTGTAGGACAGTGCAGAATGTGTTCACTTGCACTGATGCTCCCTGACATTGTGCATATTTCCACGTTGTCCTGTTTGGGAATTGAGACATTTCCAGAGTCAGTGATGTGCAGCAGAGAAAGCCCTTCAGCCCATCTGTAGCTAATCAAAAACAACACGTCACTATTCCGATCCCATTTCTCTGGTTATAGGTCCGTAACCTTGTATGCCTTGGCATTGAGTGTATGACTTAAAAATGTCTTTAAAAATTCAGCAAACACTGAGTTTATTATCCCCGAAACTGAAACTTCTACAAGCTGTAGAGGAATGTGTTCTATCGCTTGAGATTCCTGCACCAGGCGCTCTTGCGGCTTTGTCTGTTTCAGATTATCTCAAACCCATTATTAAGTGTTCTGAAAATCTCCTCGTGCTTCACTTTCCCTAATCCCCATGTGGGTTCTCCACCCTGAAGCCATATGCTGTTTATTCAAGAACCAATTCTTGGACAGCTAAGGGGCTGGGTAAGAAGGTCAGGAACAAGTGGGTGACCACCCCTAGAACATCAATCTTGCACAGGACTTTGCCACTTTGCAGACCAGCAGGAAAGCAATCCCAGGCAAGTCAGTAGCACCCCAAGTTTGGTGTAATTCCTTTTGCTGCTTTGCAGAAAACCATTTGATTAGCAAGCTGAGCATTGGCATGCAGCTTCCTGGTAATGTTGACAGTACCACAGGTTGTTCAACTGGGCAAGCACGGGGCAAGAAGATGATAGAAGAACAATAACTGAGAGGTTTCCTCCTCTGAGGAGAATAAACAGGTGTTTCCACCCTAAACATGAGTCTAGGATGGCTTGTTTCCTCCCTGGTGCCAGGTTTCAAGATGCCACGGTAAGACTGTGGGATGTTGGCCTGGCTGGAGGAGGAGGGGCATGTGAGCAGCCAGAGGTTGTAGTCCACATTGGCACTAATGACTTGGGTAGGAAAGAGAATGAGGTCCTGAATAGATGTTTCGGGGAGCTATGCAAGAGATTACTCCACTCCCATGTGCCAGTCAGCATGGAAATGCAAACCATGTGGCTGGCAACGTGCTGTAGGAAGGAGGGCATCATTATTCTGAGGCAGGTTCAAGGAGCTGCTCAGCTTTCGCCTGTTTCAGTGACCCCTCATTCTGTCTGCCAAAAGCTTAGATTTGGACATGAAGTAATGCAACATCCCAAG